ATGTATAAGTCATGAAGAAAGCAATAGCAACATACTAAACGATCGGGTGCTAAGCTAATGGAATGGGTCATGTCAATCAGATCATTCAACTAATGATGTGACCCCGTTTAATCAAATGACAACTCTTTGTCCATGGTTAGGAAACATAACTATCTTTGATTAACGAGCTAGTCAAGTAGAGGCATACTAGTGACACTCTGTTTGTCTATGTATTCACACATGTATTATGTTTCCGGTTAATACAATTCTAGCATGAATAATAAACATTTATCATGATATAAGGAAATAAATGATAACTTTATTATTGCCTCTAGGGCATATTTCCTTCATCACTTCCTCCGGAAACAGATAGTATCTTCTTTTGGTTTATTTTATTTATGCAGCTCAAATCTTCTTCCTTTTGAGAGGTGAAAGATAGTTTTATTTGGTAATGATAGGGTTACAATCTCGAGACAACAAGTTCTCACAACACAAAGGGTTCGAGTTCAATTACACCGTAGTACAAACTTCAGTGCAGCTATAATATGCCAATTGATGTGCTAGTCTATTCATTCCCTGCTAATCTTCAGAGGAACAAACTCTCTAACAGTCATATTTTCTCTAATCTCAGCAGCTAAGGGCATGCACAATGCATAGCCTCAAGGTGATGCCTCGCATGCCATGTAGGATCGGATATGACGTAAAGTAGGTTCGGATAAGGAAGCAGGATCCTCTCCAGGAGGCAGGTGCTTGAAGACAAAAAGTGTGGTCCGGTGACAAAAGCTGAAAGGTTGGAGTGAAAAGTAGAGATGCATGTGTACTAGAGTCTTTATTTTCTATTTGTTAATGAGGCCCACTAATGTTAGCTTGCATTGGAGAGAAAAAATAAATGTCGGTGCCTCAAATTACTTTTTGTCATGAGCCATATGTATCCATATGCCACCATTGTACATGCCCTAAGTGTCCATATGCCGACCTGAAAAAAGTGTCGCCTGCAAGAATGGCTAAAGCAATAACAAAATCTGATTGTACCACCACAGGAAATTCGAATGCTGAATGGCCAATGGCATCCCTTGCATAATTGCATATATTTCCGCTTCAAAGGCGTCATTGCAGTGAAATATGTATGTATATGCCGTGAAGATCAATGAGCCATCTTCTCTTCGTAAGACCATTTCGGTTGCTGCCCGGCCATCCATGCTCGAAAAGGAGCCATCAACAGAAAGTCTCACCCAGCCCGACTGCGGCGGTGGCCACAACTTAGGGAGCTAGTTCCATTTTACTTGATAAACCCGACTGACGTGACGCGTTGCTATCTTTCCTTTTATAATTTCCTCCATACTATATCTGCAGACAAGATTCAGAGATATGCAGTAATTGTTCAAATATTGCACTGTCACCTCCACCGGGCCTCCTTTTTTCCTTGCACTATGTCATTGTGAAGCTACCAAATTCGTCAGATAGTCATGATTACTCGGTCACGAATATGATCTGGACAATTAGATAGCACTTGCAACAGCCAATCCTTTCATGTATCCACAAGAATTGAGTGATCTGGCCAGATCATACGTAGAGCCTCCCACACATGCCGAGCAAGCACACATGTGATAAGCGAATGAAAACTGCTTTCCCTCTCAATCGCAGACCGGGCAAGTACTGGACACCGGAATTCACTGGTTCTTTCTCAGATTAGTGGCCAATGACCCCGCCGCTGTCCTCCATGTCATAATCCGCATCTTAAGGGGAACCTGTGAATTCCAAATATTGCTCCAGATTGTACGCACACCATCTGGAGTCTGGACTTGTGCTACTTGCGCCACTAGCATGCAGTACATCATGTGCTTCTGTTGCCAAACGATAGACCGATTTGACCGTGAACATGCCGTGTGGTTCAGGAAACCACCCAATGAAATCGCTTCTGTTCCTAGGCGAAGTTCGAATTTTGATAATTTCGACAACATCCATTGGCCAGAAATGTTCCTCAAGGCAATAAATGATCCATGCACCCGTTTCATTCAAAAAATCAAAAACATGGTTAAAACGCCAGTTCCTCTTAGGAGTAATAGGATGAAAATCAAATTGTCGAAGGATCCAGGGGTCCCTCCATGTCCTGACCGAGGCCCCATCACCAATTCTTCAAATTATACCTTTTTCAACAAGCTCCAACCCATGCAAGCACACTGTGCCTTTCCAAACAGCCGAAGACTGTCTTGTAAACACAGTGTTAAGAATGCTGCCATTCGGATAATATTTTGCCTTTAACAAACAAGCACATATACTTGCAGGGGCATCAATTAATCTCCATGCTTGCTTAGCTCAAATCTGTTAATTAGATGCTGATACGTGTTGTTTGTGGGGAATATAGCGGGGCACGTTCATCGGGTGTGTCCAGTGATTATTGACATTTGACAGGATGATTTTGCTATTGACTGGATTGTTGACCGGTCGGTTCATTTTGGATATGCACGTTCTCATCTCTAGAGTATACCGTCCTAGATGCAACTGCGTGGCGAAAAGTTGCGACCGGCCAGGCGCCCGGCTGTGACCACGAGCTCTCGCGAGGTGAAAAGCTGCAACCCGCGAGGTGCATAGCTGCAACAACGAGCTCCGGCCAGGCGTAAAGTTGCGACCGGCCAGGCGCGCGGCTATGAGAAAAGGCTCCGGGCGAGGTGAAAAGCTGCGACCGCGATCGAGGCGCATAGCTGCAACGACGAGCTCTGACAAGGCGAAAAGCTGTGACCGGCCGGACGCACGGCAGCGGCGACAAGCTCCGGCGAGGTGAAAAGCTGCGAGCGACCGCACAGTGGCACACGGCCACGACATCGAGCTCCGGCCAGGCGAGAAGCTGCGACCGGCGAGGCGCACAGCTGCGACAACGGTGCGAGGGGCTGTCACGACGGCGAGCAGTCATGAGCTCTTTGGCTCATGAGGCCGTGGTCGGGCGACCTGCAGACGTGGACCGGCCAGCGTGCGTGATGCAGTTCGTGGGCGGCAACCCCTTTTTTCCAGGCCGGAGCGTTCGTGCGAGAGGAACAATTTTGAGGCGAGTTTGACTGTTTCATCAAATGGATGTATTTGTTTAAATCCAACGCTTCAAGCGTGGACACCGCGTCCCAAGAAATCAGCTCCGGTCGCTGCGTCGCATTGAAGCGAGCTGACCGCAGCTTCGTCTGGCCTGGCCGCGGCTATATAAGCCGTGGTCCGGCGATGCACATACACACCTCCTTCTCTTCGATCCCCTCCTCTTCGCCTGCCCTCTAGCTTTCTGAGCCCCTCCTCCTATAGTGGTGATGACAAAGTCATGGTGGTCAACGTAGGCAGGCAGTGGCGGAGGACGGGCCCCTCGACGCCGCCGCCCGCGCTCTTCGGGCCCCTCGACGCTGCCGCGGGCGCTCTTCGGGCCCCTCAGCGTCCACGGCGGCAAGATCCTCAGGCAAGGAGGGGGTCGTCCTCTCCTCCAGCGACGAGGAGGACGAGAAGCCGCCGGAAGAGCCGGAGCAGCGGCCGCGCCTCCTTGTGAAGGCGGCTCTTACAGACGAAGATTCGTCCGTCAAATGGATATCATGACGGAGCCCGCGTCCCCACCACAACGGGTCAAGCAGGAGCCCACCTCCCCCTCCCTCCCAGCCGCGACAAGGACAAACCCGCGTCGCCACCGGCGCACAGCCGGTACACACGCCTTGACGGCCCCGCCTCACCGCCCCGCCGCCAAGCCATCAAGGAGGAGTTGTCGCTAGCGATATAGAAGGCGTGCAGCGGCATCCTCCATTACGTCGGAGGCAGTAGTGTCGGCGGTCCCTCGGCCTCGAGGGTCGTCATCTCCGAAGAGGAGCATGGCACGGTACGACCAGGGCAACGCCGCCCGCCGCTCCTTGTTCGCCAAGACCGACACGGCGCCGGAATGGGTCTATAACGACCCGGACATTGCCGTCACATGGGCCCTTGATCGCTCCATCACTACTAGTGAGACGAATGCTAGGCGCAACCGCCGCCTCGACAACGAGATCGTCATGTAAGGTGAGGAGTGGTCTCTTAGCGAGACCTCCATCAACACCGGCAAGGGCAAGGACACCGCCAGGGCTCTGGCACTGGCCACGGCGGCACTTCGCACCGCACACCTGCATGGTGGAGCGGCTACGCCGTAAGGCAGCCGCTGAACAAGGCTGTCGCGGCCCTCCGGCGCCCTTCCGCCACTGGAGGGACGACGATGACAGCGGCGATACGGCATGAAAGAGCGGCCACGTGTACAAGGTGGTCGTGCGGTATAGGGTTTAGGTTCCGCTGGACAAGGCTATCGCGGCCCTCCGGCGCCCTTCCGCCACTGGAGGGACGACGATGACAGTGGCGATACGGCAGGAAAGAGCGGCCACATGTACAAGGTGGTCGTTCGGTATAGGGTTTAGGATTTTCTTTTTTAGTTAAACGGTTGAAATATTGACCCTTTTATGTAGATTATGTCCGTATTTTAATGATATCCGCCCGGTTTACATGAATTTTGTCCATTTAGTTCAAACCATGTTCGAAATGTATGCAAATTTTGCCCGATTAGTTCAAACCATGTTCCGCCTCCGGCATTGGACTCTGCCGACTAGTCTCCCCTGCCCGCGGACGTATGCTAGAGCAATTTTGCGGGTCAACATTGAAGATGCCCTCAGTTCTTAACATGGATCAATCTACCACTTTTTTTCATATTGCAAGAATAAGGTAAGGACGTACATACATAAAATACCCTTGAATTAAACGCCACCACAGCATGCACTAATATCCCAGCAAGTAAATTTGGGCTGCCAAACCTCCCCTTAGTTAATCCGAGTCTACCATGTATAATGATGTCGACATGTCACAGGTGAGATTAGGCCAAATAGAGTCTGAGGTGCTCCTTCGATGTTTCTAAATGTGCTCAGCATGCTCTTCTATTTCTTTTCATGACAACACGTTGGTATACAACATCATATATGATGCCACATGGCATTATACAGGGCACCATGTTCCTATCCTTTTATTACACTTCGCATCCTAAATCAGACCACAAGGGGGGTCGTGTCATCTTCGACGGCGCCAGACGAGGGGTCCAGCAGATCGGGCAGGTCCTCACTGACGGAGAACCTCAGCCACCGCTTCTTCTCCATGTACACCAGGGCCGGTTGCAGCGCAAACCCGACGAGCACCGCCAGGATGCTCACAGCCATCACCTTGAAGGAAGCCAGCACCATCACCACGACGATCAGGATAGTCGGAGGGATGATCATCAGGACGGAGCCAACAGTGCCCAGCGGGATCCGGAAAGGCCGGGAGGTGCTAGGGTGGGTCATCCTCAGCTTGATGAAGGCGATGAACTCCAATATCATCCCGAAGCAGTAGAGGTAGTTCTCCGCGGCAATGATCTCCTGGAAGCTCATCCAGGACAGCAGGACCACGCCGAACGCCGAGAATAGGATGCCGATCAGTGGGGTCCCGTAGCGTGATCTCTTGGCGAAGAACTCAGGGAGCATGCCACGCTCAGCCATCCCGAGAAGCTGGTAAGAATCACTGCTCATTTCAGTAACAAAGTTGCCCATGTTTGACAATGCGGCCGCCGCTTGAATCCACGAGTGCAACCAGAAACCACCAAGAATTTTTGCAATGTCTGAAAAATATCCATCTGTCCACGACTCCCGAACAACCGGAACTGCTGCTGTACAGGTGATCAGAGGGTAGAGGTATCCCCCGACTACTAAAACAAGAGCATAAGAAAGTGCCCTGGGGAGGGTTCTCTTCGGATTCTCAACCTCTCCAGCCAATGTACTGATTGAATCCCAGTAGTTGAGGTTCCAAAACAGAGTGTTTAGATACAGGCCCCAATTCACATTGTCCAGATCCATTTCAAACCATCTTGAAGGTTCAATCTGTGGAATTGCTATCAATCCCATTACAAAGAAAGGGAGCAGAGAGAACACCCCAAGAAAGACTGCCACCCAGCCAACTATCGTTAATCCTCTGTAGTTCATGTAAGTAAGGGCAACTGTGAGGATAAGCACCGCAAAAGTCCTTGGAAGCCCACCCCCGAGAGCTGGAACACTGGACTTGACATAGTCAAGAAAAAGGACTGGATAGAGAGCATTATCTATGACACCACTGAGCCACTTCGCCCATCCTTGCTGAAAACCCCAAAAGGGCCCAAGAGCTGAAGAGACCCAGACGACATAGCCACCATTCTCAGGAAACATAGTACCCATCTCAGCAGTGATTAGGGCTTCTGGAATACTCCATATGAGCGCAAACAGAAGAAACCCCACAATTGCCAGGAGTGGTCCAGCAGCCTTGACACTATCCTCAATTCCAAAGGGACCCCCCGAGACTTCATAGAATATGAGGAACACAAGTGGGACCATGGAAACCTTTGGGATGCCATGCCCTCCCTTATGCTCTTTGCTCTCGTTGTTGACACCATCATACTTGAAATCAACACGATCCTCCATACGAAGAAAGGCTGAATTTGCCCGTGTTACTGCTGTACTCCTCAATATCTGCAGTTGGAAAGCCAATTATCCATTAAACTACAAGCCTTATGTTGTCCCTTGTTTTATCATGCAGAGTATGTACACAAGGACCACAATTTTGACATCACAAACTTGTAACTTGTTCTGAATTAAATTAGTAATAGAAAGGAAAATATGCCTTTATGCCAATCAAAGATGCATAGCTAAGGAAAATTACCACTGAATTCGAATGGTTCTATATAATAAAATTAAAACATAACTCCGCTGGCATTTTTACCATTGTGTCAATCTAAGTTAGGCTTTTTTTCCAGTCAGGTTCTGCATTTCACGAAAGCCATAGTTGAAATCAAAACAATCCCCCATAGGAAGGAGAGGTTCAATTTTCTTGTGTTATGCTGTGCTCCTCAATTTCTGCAGTTGGAAAGCCGATTATCAATAAAAAAAGTAAACCTTAGATTATTCCTTGTTAGAACATGCAACATGCCCGCAAGGAATGTAAATGGTAGTATAAATCTATTTTTTGATATTAATTTGACAGCTTGTCTACACGTACTACTAAAAGAAAACACGGTTTTTCAGTCACGTATAGTTCAAACATACACAAGGCTTTTCAATCTTTGCCAATAAATCGTGTATAAGTAACTATCAACGTTATCATTTTATCCATCCTGTAGGCCTCACCAAATACCTTTTGGTCGCCTATAAGATAGCAGTCGTGTTAATTTTGTGAAACTCGAATATGTAAATCATGCATAGTCAAAACATGCACAAGGCTTAGGTGTCTCATGGAATTTTCGTATGGTCATATAAGGTAATTAGCATATAGTAGTACATCAATATGGTATTTAAACTCTTCAATTACTGATACAATATGAGCAAATTTGAGTGATAATTTCCCTCCATAAATATCAGGACACTCCATAACTACAGCCCAAATCCATGGCGATGGCCAGCACAAAATCTACCACGGCGCGACGGCCGTGGGCACACAGAGCACGGGAGAGAGCATAGGAGAGGAACAAGTAGCTTACCACCTGTGCCGGAGTATAAGAAGACGAAGCGGCCACCGGAGGGGCAGGGCAGGAGGCGCCGGAGTGGAAGAAGAACCACGCGCGCAGCACCACACGGCGGTCTCTTGCGCACCTGCGTGAGTAAACCGCATCAGTCAAGAAGAGCAAACGGAATCGAACCAGGGGGCTGCACAGAGAGCAGAAGTGGGGGGAACCTTGGCTTGACGAGCTCCTCTCCCGGCGGCACAGAGAGGAGAGGAGGGAAGCAGGGGGGCGGCGGCACACAGAGGCTCCCCTCCCTGCGCTGCCCTGCTCGAATCCCTTGTCTACGGCACGGATCGGGGAAGCGCCGCCGCGACCGTGGCGGATCGGGCCTGACCCGCTCGATCTGCGGCGCCCCGACCTAGGGTGGGGAGAGAAGCTCGATCTGCGGCCCGGCCTGGTGTAGGGAGAGAAGGTGAAGTGAGGGAGGGAGGGAGAGGGTGGAGCGCGGCGGCGGTGGGAGAGAGGGCGAGTTCGCCGGCGGGGGCGGCGCCGATGTGGGAGTAGGGAGGAACAGATCGAGACTGAGAGAGAGAGAGAGAGAGAGGAGTCTCGGGTGTTTACGTTTTGTTTGTCCGGGAGCGTCGCCAACACCTGGGAGCGACTATGCTAGAATCTGTGTCTGTGGTAAAAAAAAAATACTACTCCCTCTGTCCGGAAATAGTTGTCATTAAAATGGATTAAAGGAGATGTATTTAGACGTCTAGATACATCTCTTTTAATCCATTTTGATGACAAGTATTTTCGGACGGAGAAAATATAAAATTTGATTCTGGGCTGTTGGATCAAACAGAGATGATACAGATGGTAGCGGAGGATCGACTCCTGGAAATATTAGAAGCCAGGGCAGGTTTTGATGCTCTATCTCTAGCAGCCGACTTGGGTTATCACAAGATCTAAGTTTTCATTGACTGTATGGCAACAGTTACGCATGTGAAGAGTGAATACGATGGGTCTTCTGCAGCCATTCAGGATATTAAAGGAAGAATACATGATTTTGTGTCTGTAGAGTTTATCCACGAGAAGAGGGATCTGAATGTTGAGGCTCACACCCTTTCCAAGGCAGCAACTACTTTACCTTTTGGCCGCCATGGGTGGCGTTCGAATTTACCAGACATTATTTGTATTTCTAAAGTTATTTCAAGTTAAATAAAGTTGTGGCAACTCAAAAAAAAAGAGCATTCGTACGTTGTTCCTAGCCATTGCCATTTCGACACCCTTATTCCCTTCGTAGCAGCAGCGCACACAGAAAATTCACCCGAACCTAACCCTCGTCTCTGTCACCGCTGCCCGCTAGTGTTGATGGGCGAACTACTTATTGGAGAATTTCTTTCTTAGACAAGAGGTGACGGCGAAGCAGCCACAGCCACATTGAGTTCCGCCACTCATCAAGCATGTTCTTTCCCCTCTGTTGGGGGTATTCCCCACAGATGAGACCCGGCGATTAGTGTGACCTGTTTTTGAGCTTAACGGCTCTGAGAGTCACACTACTTCCGGGTCACGACGAGGCTAAAGTAAGAAGGACCGGCGGCTCATAACGAGCACGGGCCTGCTAGTGTCGGCTCTCACATGAGCCCTGTGGGCCGACTCACGAAGAGCCCTAGGAGAAGGATTTTCCTAACTTGGAGAGCAAGATTATTATGAGTTAGATTAGGTTATGGGTTAAGAGTACGGCCCGGAATCTTCTGTAAACTAGGAACTCAACCTATTATATAAAAGGAGAGTTCCCGGGATAAGAAAGACAGGTTACAACCTCTCGAAAGCTAGGTAGCGAAAGCAAACCCTTGTAATCAAGATCATCATCAATAGCAATCAAGCGGGACTAGGCTTTTACCTCCACCGTGAGGGGCCGAACCTAAGTAAGCTCGTGTCCTTCATTCCAGATCAACCCCATCCAAGCTACCACCTAGTTGCGACGGCCCCGGAACTTAGTCCTTTCACAAGGACATCTGTCGTGCTAAAACCACGACACCCTCCCTCCTTCATGGTGTGGTCTGCCTCTACACCCCTACTCTCCTGTAGCAACTCATCTCTACCTTCTTCCTTGTTGAATCATCTTTTCTTTCTCCCTTGGCGTCTCTTTCCCCCCTCACATGGCCCTTCTCAACCCAAACCCTCGCTTCTGCCACATCATGCTGTCATCGCAGCTTGCGAGCGCTCAGGAGGGAGATCTTAGAGAATTTATTCATGGACGCATGGAATCTGATATCATTTTGCCTATTGCGGAACTTTGGAGTTGTAGACAAGTTTAGTTCGCAAATCAAATAAAGCATGGGTTTATGTGCATCGATCTTTTTGGCATTTGTCTGTTGGATGTGGTACTGTTGTCCTTAAACCATTGTCCTAGCATTTTCGGATGCATCTTCTTAGTATGCAACCCCCGTTTTTTTGTGTGGATTTATTTTCGAGATGTGTATGGCTGAGTAATCCTTATTTTGATTCTCAAGGCTGGCAACTTGAGAGGAATAAGAAGGATATCTCTCTATATATGTACGCAGGAAAAATAATCAATGGAAAAGCTTGTTATAGCTGGCTTAGACTATTTTTTGAGCAATTAGGTATAGTGATTTTCATCAACTCACCTTGATATTGTACATGAACACGAACTAATCTCACATGCATGTAAAAGTACCTGAACATGAAGTGCTTCTTGGCACAAGGCTGAAAATTCATTATACACTTTACAATGTATCCCACTAAACTATTTTCTGAGAATTCACTATCTATTTTTTAGTATTTTGCATCGAGACTAAAACCATGTAAGTGTTGGTTATGTGAAACAATTATATTAGCTCTTTGGTCTTTCTCATTTGGTTGCAACAACACTCTGCTTTAAAAAATATAACATTTTTACCTTTTGTATGTAAATAGATAAGACACTGTATTTTAAATTTGCAACCTATGATTGGAGTTGATTCCTCATTTTGTTTTTTTTAGGTGACTGTAAGTCAGCTATTTAGATTGCTGTGTAGAACACACTTCATGATGTGGGTATGGCTCTATCCTGCCGCCGGGGTTATAGTGAGCCTTTCAGGTCTCTAGGCAAACCTACTGTCGGGCTTCCTGTGGAGAAGCCACTATCGGTGTATTACACCATCACCAACCCATTGCGTTTTTGCCTAAAAAACCCATTGCATAAACCAACTAGTATTTGTCGATGTCATCTAATATTTGCAAATAGGAAGACCACTTTCTAGATAACCATTGTCTAAACTAAACTGTTTTACTAGATAATGATGGCAACAACAAATTGACAGGCTGATTCAAGGGTATAATTCAACAGAGATTTTCTCTATCGTAGTTACTCCAGTAGTATTCGGTAATATGTTTCGATGCGAAATATACCAGGTGTGCACCTGAAATATAAGCGGGAACCCAGAAGTAGGAACGTTGGGGGTGAGAAAATGGGCGCATGCATCTATCGGCTTAGGTAAAGCCAATTAGTACTAATCGGCTTAGGGGAAGCCAATTAGTCCCAATCGGCTAGCCGACAGGAAGCCAATCGACTTCCCTATAGCCGACAATGTATTATTTAAAAAATCAGCATATTATTTCTGTAAATTAATAAAATGTATTATTTTAAGAAGATTACCAGGAAACCGCCCGGCAGCGAACCACCTAGGAGCTCTCACAGCGACATCAGCCGTTTGACTGCGCTTTAGCAAGGATCCAGATCTCACGGGCTCAAGTCTTGCCACTTTTCACCGCATCATCTGCGAGATCCTGTTGGCCCACCTTATTTGGGCTGCTATTTTGGAGGTCTACCTTTTTGTTTCGAGGGGCGGAGGTCTACCTGGGGCACCCCTATTTCTCGAAATTCCCTATTGGACGCACGTTGTGTCAAAGTGTCGACCTTTTGCACAAACTTAGCGATCGATCGATGACCTGGGCCGGCCCATTAGCGGGTTGCAGCATTTCCGATTTTGGGAACCTTCTAGATTTTCCCAGCCAGTTTTTCTAATTTTGGAAACTTAGAAGATTCCCTGAACCGGTTTTTCTATTTCTTTTTGGTTTTCCTTTTTTTAGTGTTTCTATTTATTTCTTATTTTTCTTATTTCTTATTTCGTTTCTTTTCCTTTTTTCCTTTTCATTTCCTTTTGCCTTTTTCCCTTTTTGATATTGATTTCATGCTGATATTTGTCTTTTTTTAATTCAATATTTTCAGATTTTAAAATATGTTCCACATTATAAAATATGTTGATAAATTCAAAAATGTACAAGAACTTAA